TGTGTGTGTGTGTGTGTGTGTGTGTGTGTGTGTGTGTGTGTGTGTGTGTGTGTGTGTGTGTGAGTAGGCAGAGGTGGACTTGTCAGTAGCGTTGGGTTCTGTGTGTGGATTAAAGTATGTGTGCGTGCTTGGTACAGTTTTATAATAAAGGCATATGAAAACACACTATATGGGGCACTTTGCCTGCCATGTGTCAAGGACACCTCTAATTTCAGATAAATTGATATGGGGCACTATGCCATCTTCTAGCGCGTTGCGAATGGTCGTCTTAACCTAAATCCCCACGAAATTGAAAAAAGGAAACCATACTAACGAAATGGAAAGAAAAAAAAAAACGTGAAAATATGTGAAACAGCAAGGTTGGAGTAGTGAATTTATATTCAAAATATTGCCAAGAGTAGTAAACATGAACATCAGAGAACAGATGGAAGCAGGGTTATCGTTAACCACCATAGATCGCGATAAGTATCATTGATCGATTTGCTTTAAAAAATACACGAAAATTGGAAAGAATTGTAGTTGTGTTATGCGGCATATTACGAGGACGATGGAGTCCTAGGTATTCATGTCAACTCGCTATAGTATCATGTTGCCAGGATTTAGCAATTGAAATTTTCTCCGTCGTTTCGAGCATGCAAATATGACAGGCCCCAATAACGATAGCTTACGCTGACGCATAATGCATTGTCATGTGCAGAAAGGAGGAACATAGAAGAAGTACGAAGATGCAAACAGGGATGGACGATCTTCTTAGCAACGGATAAGTTATCGGAGAAGGAGACGGTCGCGGTGCAACATTTACGAAATTCAGTGCAAGCGGAGAATCGGACGGTCTGGACATCCACGTACAATGGGGCAACAAAAGAAGAACTAACACTAACCGGACATGATTTGAGGTTGATACTGTTTCAAGGCAATTGGTTGAACACCGACATAAATAACTTTTATTTGAACCTCGTTAGGCTTGAAAACATGTGTCGCATAAGCCATCGCGAGTGTGATAGTGGACAAGACGAAACCGTAGTGGAAGGAAAAGGGCACATCCCGATAACAGCAATTTTTAGTTCCTTCTTCTTCAAGAAATTGTTCGACGACGACATGCAATACCAATATAGCGCAGTGCGAAAGTGGATGACAGATATCGATGTGGGTGACGTGGACTTAATAATAGTTTCATTCCATGTCCGGATGTCCAACCATTGGACACTAGTAATAGCAGACTTAAGGCGCCAGAAAATGGAGTACTACGACTCGCTTACCCCTGACAAAGAATTGGCAAGGAAAGTGACAGTTGGTTTCGCAAAATTCTTGTTCGAACGATCGGTTGAACAGGGTAAGGTGGTGGATACAAAAGATTTCAACCACATATGGAATGTGTCAGGCATTCCTAGACAGCGCGGCATTAACGAATGCGGTGTGTTTATGCTAGCATATGCGTCACTGTTGGCAAAAGGATTTCTTCCGCCATTCAACTTTTCTTTCGACGACATCCACAATATAAGGGGACGGATCGACTTAGATGTACTTGTCACGCCGAAGTAGGAATTACTTGTGCAACAAAGGACATTTGATAGACGACATTATCAAAGCAAAACATTTGTTCATTTTTTGCAAATGTAAAGAGTTCATTGGCTCTGTTGGATAGACACCCATGAACATGTTTGAATGTATTTAACAAAGCAACAATGCGACATGCGCGATCGAACACCATTACTGTGTTACTTCAGATGACCTCGTACCCCTTACCCCTTTACCCCTGACCCATGACCCTATACCCACAAAAGACTTCAAAAATTGCATACAAAAATCGAAAAAAAATGGACTTTCCATTTCGTACAAAAAATAAAAAATGTTCGTTTTGACGAAATCGCAGTTAAGACTTCTACATCGCATTTCGTGGATTTGCACAGAATAACCTTGATACACAAAAAATGGTTGTCTTTTTGAATTAGTCCCAATCGTATTGGATCCGAGTTGTTGGGGATGTCGGGTTTGTCTTCTCGGATGGGAGCCTTCCCCTTGGTAGATGCTAGTTTGGCGAGGGTAAACCGCTTTCAGTTTGCCTTGCAATGTCGCAGCATTCGCTCGTTTGCTTGCTCCGATATGGACAACAGATGTCCAATGGGTAGGGGAATCCGATGGTTCAGTGGTCGGACAATGTTCAGGACATTGATCTCTCCCAGAACGAAAGTGGGGCCGTTAGACTCCATTTCCCCAGGAGATGGTATTATCCATTCTGTTACTTCGCGTTCTTCATTCGTAGAACGGATGGTTCCGATCATTCCCAACCCCGGGTAACCCAGAGAGATGTATTGATCAAGTGGGATAAGCTCCGCAACTTCCTCGGTAGAGATTATCTCACTCCTCCCTCCCTCTATCTCTTCCACCACCGTGCCTACCCTGCTCTGTTGGCCATAGGTGTTGTTCGGGGGGCTGCTCCTATTCGGGCCTGTGCGGTCAGTTGGGGCAGTCTCGGGCTATGTGGCCTGGCTGGTAACACGTGTAGCATACGCTTGTGTTTACTGCAACACCGCCCACTACTTGGTCAGGGGCTGCTCCATCTGCTATTGGTGCATCTCGGACGGCGATGGGGCGCATCAACCGCATCAAAGATTATATCTGGGTATTGTGTTTGCGTGTTTCTTTTTGCTCTCCTGCATTATTCTAGTATTGCACTGGATTTGTTTGGCTTAGCAACTGTCTTTGGGGGAGGTGTAGGTGTGACCATTACGGGCAGTCCTGGGGTTGTGTCTGATATCAATCTCTTGCTTTCAACTTGCTCTAGATAGGTGACGGGGCCGGAAACGATGC